ATAATAATAATAATAATAATAATAATAATAATAATAATAATAATAATAATAATAATATTAATAATAATAAATAATTTTGGAAAACTATTACTTACAACTGTGTAATATTATTTATTCACTAGAATTATCATTATAGTGCTATGTTTAAAAATTAAAAAAAATTAGTGACCTGACGAAAACTTACAATAGCAATGATGGTAGATGTGATGCAAGTTGATGATTACTTTTGTAACTTGAAATGAATATCTATGAATGAAGTGATTTACTAATCAGCTAATAATCCCCCTTAGAAAAAATACTATTTATTCCAAGCTACATGATTTTAAAGTGACGCTGCGCTATTAAACTCACTTGTACATCATGAATCCCTCATCATCTATATCAATAGCTACTGACACTGGACCTGCGGTTGCTACTGCGATCTGGAGAGCCGTCTCGTTTCCTTCAGGCAGCTTCATTATGCCAGTGACTTTAGCCAGACCCGCAGATTCGTCGTATCGACACACATTGTCCTATTGTTAAATGCATAATTTAAGTAAAAATTATTTAAAAGTAATGACTGGTGGCAATTTTTATTTCATTTTAAAACAGAAATTATAGTAAGCCTCGAACTATTCTATAAATCCGGCTACACTTACAATATGGGGATTGATGGTAAATGTCTCCCTATTTGATATATGTTAATTTCACATTCGAGCTATGGAGCCTGCCCTATCATTAAAGCCATACCTTCCCTGTAAATCTCGGCGATATGTTCGTAGGTTTAATTGTGTAACATATTTGCCACGTGAAGTCCAACTCCCTAGTTGGATTCCCTATGAAATTGTTGGTGATTGATTGAGATCTATGCGAGGTTGAATCTGCAGTCAATTCTCCGTGAGAAAGTAGTTTTGGGATAAAAGTTTCAGTAATAATTACTGATGAAATTAAGAATGTTCAGCTTATTTTGGGTGTTTATATATAAAAATATATATTTCTCTGAATACACCATACATTGATAGCATTAGCTTTCGCGTAATCATTGGTAAAGTAGAAAATGTTTGAGGAGTAGATCACATAACTAATAAAAATGGTAAGAATATTCTGTGGGCTTGTGATTAAAGTAATATTTATTTTTAGTTTGAGTATTTTATTTTTGTAGCCAAATTCGATAATTAAATTGTTGATAGATAAATATTATGATGACTGGCTGCTTATATAAATATTTTAAATGCAAACAAATAAGATGCAAGGCAAAAAATGTTGACTTATAATTTAATAATTTTAACATATATTAAAATAATTGTTATGAAATTTTATTTAGATTTTTAGTTTCTGTTCTACTTAGTATCACTAGCTATTTAAAAACTTCAGTCACAAAAACGCACTCAATACGACGTGGATGAAATTTGGTGTCCGAACATGTATTAATCAATACCAATCTTACTCAAGAATGTATATATTTAATAAAACTATGCGCACATTGGAATATAATAAAGATGTTAAACTTGGGATTATTGATTTAGGTTTTACTCATAAATATGTAATAAACCTACTCGGGCTTCGTAAGGATAGGAAGCCTCCGATTCAATGGCACTTTCTTCTAAGTACTCAAATGCGTTGTTCATCAGCCCTCCATGGCAACCTTCGTTACCGAACTTCCTGGAACAGTCCACCAATTGTTGCTCAGATAAGCTGACAAGTTTATTTGTCTTTTTCTTGTACTGACCTTCAAGAGAACCGGTTGTCGAAAAGGCCCAGCAGGAGTGACATTTGCCCTAAAAAGAAGACATTATGAATACATTATTAATCTCGTTGATATTTTCGTGATTGTATTTATCAAGTTAACAAGGATGCTTCAGGATATTCTGATCTATTGTCAAGTTCCTGTATACTTCTTGACTCCATTGCGAGCCTCAGATACCAAAGTACGAATGGTTCAGATTATTAATTAAGGTAAAATGAGGTTTGGTTGTGTCTCTTGCGCTTTTACACGCTAATCATGACAAGAATTCGAGTGTGATATAACAGTGGCTAAACTGCTACTCTTCTAAAGTAAACGACGAAGGCGGAAATATTCACTAACAAGCTGTTTAGTGAGGCTTATCAGAAAGCCGAGTCTCAAGAGACTAAACACATTAATACGGCCCTCACCCATTTGGAAATCCCTCATAATAACTTATAGGAAGAACTTTTACTTAGAACAGTTTTAGAGAGCGAAAAGATGACTTAATGAAAAGTGAGTGATAGAAAAAAGTAATATATGTGAACTAATTTGCCATTGCAAAGATGATAAGTATGTGATGCAAGATCGTAATCTGCGAACATTGCTTCAGAAGCAAGCATCCTATGTGCATTTTTAATTGCTAAATTTACAAACTGCCAGCAGAATTTATGCTATCTTTTTTTCTTTCAATG